CCCCAAAACCCCAAAACCCCAAAACCCCGCATGATCAAATTTTCAAGCAATTAAAGTGCTGAGAATTAATATTTGTAAATATATTAAATTCATTTGATTTTCCATTCTTCTTCTCCAATGCTTGCAATCTAGGCCACTTCCTCTTGGTTAAAGAACTCATAATCTCTACCCATGTCCTGACCTGTGGCAATGACATCATTGTCAATCATGTCAATTAGAATTGAACCGCAATAGAAGCATTCTCTAGTTAGAATCTCATCTATTTTGTTGAAAATGCGTCTGATGTCCTCCTAGTCCTTTTATTACAGCATCTGAGTGTTCTAGGTGCTAATTCCAGTCACCATGCCACCTCTGACAGACTTAGTGAAGTAATTTCTGATGTCAGAGATCAATGATTTCTTCATTTCATCATCTGGCCCTCCGAACATACCTCCAGCTGCTCCACCCAGTCCGAAGTTGCCTCCAAACATAGAACCACCTGAAGCAGCACTTTGAATAAATACTGCTTTTTATTTGATGTTCTCTATTTCAGCAAATAGACTCTTGATCTTCTCTATGTTAACTCTAACTTTAGGATCTTTAGTCTCGTAATTCTTGATATACTTATAAACACATTCTCTGTGGAAGGCATGAAGGCAGGGGAATACATAGAACTCCTTCTTGAATATGCTGGTAAAGCAGATATCGCACATTTGACTTGGGTTAATCGTGATATGCTTGTGTCTCTGCTTCCTCTGCTGCTTTCTAAGTATTTCTGCATTCTTTGAGTGCTCTTCTAGTTGCTGCTTCAAGTCCTAGATCTTATTGTTATAGTCATCAAGGCATTTACACAAATGCTGTTTCATATCCTCGACTTTAGCTTCTTCTGGGAACAGAGGCAGCAAATCGTCTATCTTCAAAATGCTATCCTGCAGGATTCTTAGTGCTTCAGTAACATCAACTGATCCCTTTGACAGTAAAGAGTTAAGATCTTTGCTTTGATACTTAGTATTTTTAAGAAGCAAACTAGTAGTTGACCCACTGAGAGCGCTAGCTGCAGCTGTAGATACCTTCTTGCTCTTATAATTAAATAGCTTTTTAGCAATTTTCATCCATAGTTTCTTCTGCACCTTCTTATCAGCAGGTTTGTTTGCGTAGTCCTTGGCCATTTCAATGTCATCAATCTCCAAAGCCAGCTTGACTGCTTTATCGTGCAGACCTAAGATAGCATAGAGTATAATTTAAGCTTTTTTCATCTTTCGGTACATTTGACGCACATTTTCCTCCTCCTTTTCACTGAGCTTTTTTTCTTTGCGAGATTGTTCTAATCTTTCCTAGAACTCACGCTCTTTTTGCTTGCAGACATTCAGTGCATAGTCGATTTCAAAGAATAAGGCATGACCCTCTATCTTTTTCATCTCTTCTTGTTTTAAATAGGAAAGCAGTTCATCTGGTCTGTCTCTTTCAGCATAGAAGTAAAAGGCAAGATTGTGGACAGTCTTTTCTCTGCTCTTTCTTCTCTTTATGCAAAACTCTATCACATATTGAAGTGCCTCATCCATTGGTTTACCCTTAGATACATTCATAAAAGCTGGTATTAACTTTGGTATGTCAATGGTTTTGAAGGTCTTAAGTACTTCAATCGCTTTGACAGGCAGATTCTTAATGAATACTGAGGCGTATCTAAGCATGATTGAGTTTTTAGTTTTTTCATCTGAGATGGTTTGCACTTTCTCCAATGCTAGACTATATTCTTGCTTGTTTATGTAATGTACTATCACTGTCTCGTAGCTCTACACATCTTCAGCGAATTTAATGCACTCATCGATTCTTCCATGAGATTGCAGAAGCTAAAAGATAGTGTCTTGATCTATGTCCTGAGCATTTTTCATTAGGAATTCATGAAAACCATTCTTAAGCAAAAGCAGTGCTTCTTATGAGAACTTTAACTCTTCTTTATCTTTGCCTTCCAATAAATTCGATATACTTACTCTAACTACTTCAAGCTAAGCCTGACAGTTATTTATCTCATTAAGCTTAAGTTCAACTATCCAGGTGCACAACAGCATCCTCTATGGCTTTAAATCTTCTCTGTTTTTGTCTAGTTTCTCGTATATCTTTTGCAAATATATTTCGAGGTAAGTGTAGAGGTTTGCCTTCAGGAATTTAAGAGTTACTTCCTCGAATGTCTTTTCAGACTGAGAGTAGTAGTCAGCTGCTTGCTCGTATCTCTCTTTTGAAAATAGCTAATCTGCATAAATGCCAGCAACGTAAGCTCTCTAAGAGGAGTTCTTGCAATTATTAAGAGCATCCTTGATCAGACCTCTTTTAAGGTAATACTTCCAAGCATCTTGATCTTCTCCTTTCAAGTAAGCTATCATCACTGGAGTCAGTTTTGGGTAAAGCAATATTCTGTTGAAAGTCATATCAACACTGATGCCTTGAAGATCAATAGTATCAAAATTTCTGCTGAATACAATCTCATTTGAAATCTTGCTGAGCACTGTGATGTTTTTAGGATACATAAAAATTATGTGGAACTAAGTGAGTGCAAACGAGTTAGGCAGCTGATTCTCAACTGGAGTGTCTGAGTCCTTCTTAATGTACTTAATCATTGATAAACTCTTTTGCTTAATAATGAATTCAGCCATCATTATGTTGAATGAAGCATAGCAAAAACAATACTCGTTCATCCAGCCGAACCCAGAGATTTGATTTTTTTGCTGATCAATATAAAGTTTCAACTGATTGTATATGATGTCTTCACCATCATCTTAAATAGTAGTTTTGCCCTAAGAACTTGCATCTAGTCTAAGGGTTCTCTCCTTCATAAGCCTATTGTCATTTGCCTGATGCTCCTAGAAAGTCTTCTTGATGTTGCTTTCTGATACGAATTGATGCAGAGAAGTATCTGTGATTGCAAGGATAATCTAGCGTTCCAGGATCTTTGCCAGCTTTATATCGTAGATTGGTCTGTACTCCTAGGTGTCCATTACCATTACAAATGGGTCAATAATTTCCAGCTGCTTGGGTGAGTACTACAAACATGCATGGAACATCTACCCGTCTTCAGTTCCAAGCAAGATCTCAAACAAATTTAGATCTGACATACTCACATACTGCAGGTCTATAGATTTAAAAGCTTTGGGCTGAGATTAAGCACTATGCATGTCATACTTTCCTCCTCCGCCGCTAGGAGTTGTATTTACTAGAAAGACTTTATTGCTAGTCCAATGATTATAGAAAATTTCGTGCTCAGCCAGGAAGAAGCAATGTATGCCCTTTTAGTCGACGAATATCTTCTTGATGTTCTTGCGTTTTAAGATGTCATCGTCTACCTCTGGCTGTCTATCATCTTTGTTCTCTAAGTTCAGCTTACCTATCACCTTATTTCTACGAGTCAATACCCATAACTTTCCATTTTACATTGCAGCTAACTAGATTTCTACCGATATATATATTTAACTTGATCATTATTTTACAATTTTCTTGTAGAAGAAGCTGCTGAGAAGGAGGACTAAACTTAAACACATCTTGAATAGATATCTCATCTTGTCTGAACCCAAACATGCTATGTAAGGAACTCTCATCATCATTCTAGAATATCGAATGAGGAGTATACTGCGACTGACTCGATGAGTATTCATTTGTCGTACTATAATTTCCCAATCTACCCGTACTAATCATCTTTTTATCTTGCTTCGCTTAATATTATTATAATTATCATGTTAATTATTTCAAGCTGCAATCACTAGAATTTTAACCCAATATCTGTTTGGGGTTTTGGGGTTTTGGGGTTTTGGGG